TTCGGGTTTTCTGGATTTTAAATTTTTGGCTTCGGGTTTTTTAGCTTCAGGTTTTTCTGACTTTAGGCTTTTCAGTTTCGTATTTTCTAGCTTTGGGTTTTTTGGTTTTTGGCTGGCTTTGGTAGAGTGGTTGACAATGAGTAAAATAACTCACTGCGGACGAAATCAGCTTTGGGCTAAATATTTTTTTTCAGCTTATGTTTATGCACTATCTCTTTTAGATAATAAGTATTGTTCATTGGTGTTGTCTACTTTGGTATTTCTCTTTATCATTGGTGTCGTCAATTATGGTAAATTCTCTTCGTTATTGGTATCATTCATTCTGGTGAATTCTCTTCATCGATGGTGTCATCCAAATTGGTTTTTTTTTCATTAATTTATTTCAGTTCAGGCAAGTTTATGATTTTTTTTTTTGTATTTTGTTTGTTTATTTTAGGTACTTTTGTTTGTAGTTTTTGCTATTAGAGTTGTCTATTTGATGTATTATCACAATTTTTGGAACGTATGAGAAAAATTAGCCGAATGGTTTTTTAGCCGATTCAATTAAGTTTGTAGTTTTGGCATAATTGATTCAAATTGATAATTTAGAATCTACAACTAATACGTAGAAATATTATGAGTCTGGTATATATGTATATGTATATATACTTATACTGACTCAGGTCACAATTACTAATTCTAACTTTTTAACTTTAATTTTATAAAATATAGTGCAAAGTCAAACATTAAGAAACAAAATACAAATGACGAGTTGTGATTATAGGAAATTGCTTTGGATCTTTCGAAGTTTTGAATTCTATTCGAGTTGACTTATTAATTGCAGGTAAATTTTAGTCACTTATATATTTTTTAATTACATATATATATGAAATAAAATATAAAGTTAACTTTTTTCTATTATAGTATTTTTAGAAACGAATTGACCAAAATACCCCAACACAAAGGTACTAAAATGTTGAATGGTCGCTACAACAAAGAGAGACGTTGTGTGATGATGCCTAGTAGAAAGGTGAGACAGATATTAATTGGACGAGGGTCTAAAGTGTTTACTAAGTATCGATACGTAAGTATTTCAATGCAACTTTAAAGAATATTT